CGCTATACCTATAAATATATATACGTTAGAGTCTAACGCATACTCTACGCTGTACATCTATTTGTACAGAATAAATTGTTTAAATCCCTTTTCAATAAAACATGGACCGATTTGAAGGATAACTTCGTCAAATCCAGAAATGTTATCTCCGATAAATAGGGGCCGTGTTACATTTCGCATACGATACGTTATACCTATAAATATATACGTTAGAGTCTAACGCATACTCAACGCTATACATCTATATGTATATAAGTCCGCCAGAATACATTTTTTAAATCCCTTATGGGCCATACTTTTAGCTTTATCCTATTTCAACTAATATATATTGATCATCACTTTCTGTACTAAAAATCTTGTTCCATTATTAATAATAGGTGGATTAAGGTAACGATAGAGTTTTTAAATTTAAATTAGTCTACTACGTTACATTCCGTTTAGCTTCTTATTCGCTTAGCTGTTTTAGTATAGCTGCTCTTTTCCGGTATAAAGCTTATTGCAGAAGTAGTTTTATTCATTATATATGCACATGCTTCGTTTAACATCATCGCGGGATCAATAAAATGATGTAATCTTTCCATTTCAAAATAGTCCAAAGACTGTAAGGTTTCAAAAAAATACAATTTTAAATATCCAAGTGGTCTAGTAGCTGAATACATATGTATTTATCCTCCTTTTACAAACACAATTATATATACTTTATTCTAAACACCTCCCATATATGTATATGTCTGCATACCAAAATTCAGGTTCATGTGACTTATGGTTCCCAATTTATGGCAGGTTAAAAATTCGACGCCTATGGGAAGTGACGCGCCCCTTTTACAAACCCATTTATATATATCTTTATTTAAGCGCCTACCATACTATACCTACATACCAAATTTCAACCTCGTGTGGCTTATGGTTTCGAAATTACAGCAGATTAAAAATTTCACGCCTATGGGAGGTGCCTCGCCCCCTTGTCGAACCCCAATTTTTTTCTCCCTATTATAGGCCCAGGTGTCTTGGCAATACTCTGTCAAAATTTCGTTCGATTCTGTCCGTGCGTTTAGGCTGCAACCGGGCACATACATACATACATACACACCTATATATACATATCTATTCTTCTCTTAGCGTAAAATAATTTTTGGGGATATCTCGGCCACAGGGAAAACCTATAGCGTAAGTGTTAAGTCCAAATATTTCTGTTCAATTGGCTAAATTGCATTCTAAATATGAGTCAAATCGGCAAGTAAATGCAATTTTTAGGAATATCCTGAACCCAACGCCACCTAGCGACTGCATTTTTGGTCAGAATATTTCTTTTCTAGGTGCTGACACATGTTCCAAATATCAACCATCAATCAGGCTAGCGGTTTAGTAGTTTAGTGACATTTAATGTACAGAAAACTCTATTAAATTGTGAAATCGTGACGTCTCAGCATTCTTCATTTTTCGGCAACAAAAAGAAAAAATTTAAAATTTTCGAGAAGTATTTTTTCTTTACCACAAATTTAATAATTTGTGCTGAAACGGTATAGTTTTCCACCTAATTTAAACCAAAATGATAAGATTATCTCTGATCGTTCGGGAGATATGACAGATCAAAGAAATGATTATTTTAATATAAAAATCGCGATTTATTGCAAAGTAAGAGAATTATTGCAAAATAAAGTATAGGGAAACAAATATTACCTGGACCTCTACGAAGGTACGTAACTATCTTGGTTATCCGAAAGAAACTTTTTTAAGTGGCCCACTTGGCTTATTTTGATGTAATTTTAAAATAAAATTATTATTTTAGATGTTTTTATCAGTCACTGCTTTACTAAACGATTAATATCTCAGGCCCTATATCGAGACACCCTTTAAAAATTTGTCAGTTAAATCTATGATATACACTCTATGACATATATTTTTTGGAGATTTTTAAAAACCTGTAAACATGTTTTTTTTGCAACTTTCTTAATTGTTCATTAACAAACGTATGGAAAAGTGAACTTAAAAAAAATTAAAAATGTCTTAAATCTGACTCTTTGCCAACAAAAAAGTACTAATTGATGTTTTTGATACAACCAATATTTATCGAGATATGATGTGATAAACAATGGCTTACGGCGAGACA